ATCTTTAATCCTAGCATTGCTTCTCTTCAAGCCAGCTCCTCTTTATATCTTAGATGAGGTACATCTCGATTTTCCATTTTTATGAATATGATTGTTTAGACTAAGTTCATGTTTCCAGTGATCTTGAAATGTTAACGATCACAGAACCTTTTTAAGTTTGATGACATTCTCAAAAGACATAGTAGAACTCATGAGTTTAGTTTTGTTCAGGTGGATGCAGCTCTTGATCTCAGCCACACGCAGAACATAGGAAGAATGATAAAAGCTCATTTCCCACATTCACAGGTCATATAATTTTGCGGGTTTCTCTGATTCTGTAGTCACCATAATTCAGAAAGCTTTACTTATCCATTTTTATCTCAAACATTACTGCTCTCTGATATGATTTCTCTTACAGTTCATTGTAGTTTCACTGAAAGAAGGAATGTTCAGCAACGCCAATGTTCTCTTCCGAACAAAATTCGTGGATGGTGTTTCAACAGTCCAGAGGACAGTAACAAAACAGAGCTAGGAAACCTGCTTATATCCTTAACAGCACTAATGATGTATATATTCTTCTTTCTTCAGTAGTAGAAATTGCTTCTACGGTTTGTCTTTCTAGATCTGTAGCGAATGATTTGTTGGTAGCCATTGTCTAAATCTAAAGACCAGAAGCTTACCTTCAACTTTAGGGTTTCATGTTGCCAATGTTTGAGTTGATTATGATTTTAAGTATGGGGTGCTTATATCACAGTACCACATGAATGCATAGATAAGGAGTACCACAATGTCGATTAACTTAGTTCCTCTGTACATTGAAGATTTTAAATTTAATCATGGAGCTACAACGATTCAACACGGATTCAAGCTCAAAATCCAAGAAGTCTAAGATGAAACACACTTGCAGATAGACATGAAAGTGGTGGAAGATAGATATGATAATTCATAAGTCCCTCTTAACTCTTTAGCTGAGAGTTTGGACAATAGTGTTGTGCCATGGGTCAGACAAGTGCTGCAACAGATTCTCGAATGGTCCCTTTCCAGTCACATTGTGTTGAACCACAAACCCTAAGAACGCCAACATCGCCAATCTCCCTGAAACAACAACAACAAAAAAGGTTCTTTAGTCTTTTAACTCTAACTAGCAGTTTCGTGTGTAACAAGAATAGCGGATTAGTCTAAGCTTACCGTTTGCGATCTCTTTCTCCTTGGCCTCGAGCGTAGGAGCAAAGTTAAGCGGGTTAAAGATACCACCAGGGTAACCAACTTCACCCTTAGGTAAGCTGTATTGCTTAAAGATAGGGTCTTGGTTCACACTTCCTGGGTTCTTGATGTCTTGCCACCGTCTGATCTCAACGTAATGAAACAATATGAATTCGATCACGAACAATGTCGAAGACGATGCAAAATACTGCTCTTTCCCAGCATCATACCACTCCGGAACGTTTATGATTCCTACCAACAGTTTTAACAATCCTTGTGTTAAGTTCTTGAAAAGATGTAACAAATATGTTTAGGTCATGTTTAATGGTGACTCACCAAGCTTGGTGAAAACTTCTGGCAAAAGCATCCCAGCGACACCAAGCATGGCCCATCGTCCGTTGACCAGCTCTGCCTGGACGAACCATTTCAAGTTCTCTGGATCCTCTGCTAGACCCAAGGGGTCGAACCCATTGTCACCGGCAAGACTGCAATGTGTATAAGAGTGAGTGAGTGAGTGCCATACCAATAATATTAACTAAACCGGTACCAAACAATCCCGGTCTAACCTAACCAAGCCAAATTGATTCTTCAGGTCTAACTTAACCAAGTCAAATTGATTATTCAGTTGGTTCGGTTATATCAAAGAAAAGTTTGTCGCACTTTGTAAATTTATTAATCTATTCTATACAGTCGGTTCCGGTTGTTTTAAACCGAAAGTGAATGTAGTTTGCAAAAATTACCTGCCGGTGAGATAATCAGGCGATGCCAAACCGGGCAACCATTCTCCTTTCTTAGCCTCAACCTTGAACGACGACGTTTTGGACGATGAACCAATCGATTTAAACGTCAAGTCGCGGTTCAACCTACCGGAAGAACTGGTGAGGAATCTTGGCTTTGAAGTAGTACAAGGTCGGAAAATCGAGGCCGAGGCATGAGTAGTGACAGTCGCCATTATCCCTAGCTAGACTTAGAAGATCCGACCCGAGAACCCGGCACTGTAAGAAGAATGGATTGGAATCAAGAGAGATTGAAAGATGAAGTTCAGAGATGATTGTGAAGAAATAAGACTTTGAGGGGGATTTTGTACGTTTATTCGTTTGTTGAAATGAGTTTTGTGGCTGTGGTTTGATGGATGAGTATCTACCGTTGGATTAGATGACGTGGTTGATTTGACGGATGAGATGGGTTTGAAGGGAGATACAGGCTTATCGGTTTATCTTCGAAGCGTATCTTAGGAGGATTTTTATGTTGTTTGAGATTGGTCGGAATAAGATAGTGTCGGGTCCATTGTTGTTAGTTTGTTACACGTGTCAATTATATGGATTAAAATATAAGAGTGAAGTGAGGATTCTCGTCAACCAATCAAATGAAACTGAATTGGCATATGGGAAACCAAAAAATCCAAAGTCTGATTTTCCTAATCATCAAGATAGGGGAGGTATTTTTATTTCCATATATATAGGGGAATAAAAAAAAAATGTGTAATATTGTACTCCTCTGTTCCTAGATATTTGTTTGGGTTTTTTTCTTGTTCCACAAAAATTGATGTTTTGTAATAGCATCATTACTATTTTTTATTTGTGACCAATAGAAAAATGAGAGAAGTAAGATTAATATTATTAAACTAATAATAAATAATAGAAAATTATAAAAATGATTTTTTCTTAATTAGTGTGTAAAACTCAAATCATGACTCTTATAGGAAGAGAGGGAGGGAGTGGTATTTTTGGATAGCATCTAAATATTAAGTGTATGTGAAAACCAAAATAAGATGAATTCTTAAAATTTATAATAATAAATAAGATTTGACTAATTATGTCACAATATGTAATATCAAGAATTATTTGTTGAAATGGAGTAAAATTATTTCAAATTGACTTTTTTGCTAAGATTCTTTGGTTGTAACTTGTAAAACATAAAACCAATATTTGGATGAACTATGGCATTATGATCCCGTCTCTATGGAGCGGTGGTTACCTAAGCTTCCTCAACTCTTTCCCTCTAACCTCACCCGATGACAGAACCAGCTTAACCTCTCTCCTTGCCGATGAGCAATTCAAGCTCGCTCTTCTCGTACCGGCGAGAACCTCGGCTATGGAACTCTATTCAACGTCACTTAGTCTTTTGACTGTGACTATTGTATCATCTAATGCCTCGTCCGTGGATGACTCTTCGACAAACCGTGTTATCACTTGCACCAATTTGCTTCATAGCTTTGGCCTCCAAGCTCTCATGGATCCCTTGTCGAACTATTTTTGCTATCTTTGTGTAGCATTTGCTTTATCCTTTGTTTGTTGTTGCTACTTTGTTTTAAGCCTTTCTATCCTTGTACTCCTGGCTACTTTGAACCTTGTTTCTATTGGATGAATGAAAACAAGTTGTTTGACAAAAAAACAAACAATATTTGGATTTGTTGAAAGTCTATCTTGACTTTGGGTTTGTGAGAATCTCGAGTTGGGTTAAGGAGTTGAAATATCGGATTGTTTTAAGCCCAAAAAGAAGAGAACAAGGAAAATGTGGAAGAACTTGAATCCATCTTTTTCTTCAACCTCTCTTCTTCAAGATCATGTTCATCTTTTTAGTAAATTTGAGAGAGACATTTAAGATTACCTTTTAAACTGTTAACACAAATCTTATAGTGAATTTCACAGATTTGAAGGGTATAGAAGATCTAGAATATATTGAAGATCCTTAAAGATATTTTGGGAATATTATTTAGTTTTGTATGTTAGGAAGCTACGATTTTCAATGTGTCAAAAGATGAATCTACGATATTATGATGAATCATAGCATGAACATTTTGGAAAAAATACCATATGCAAATGCTATCTCAGCAGTTTTGCATCGGTTGTTCACTTAATTGGACATACAATCACTATGATAATTAGGGATGATGGTACTACCCTAGCATGCGCCCATTTCTTATGGCATTGGGCTACACATGTTATCATCATCACATCTGGTTGTTAATACATGAAAAACTTTATTAAGATGGTCGACTTTGACCATGACATTGATGTCCTAAAAGTTGTAGAAAATCTCACTCTTGTCAACTCGGACATCCTCCGCCAAGTGCATTGGATGGTTGTCTTGGGCTCTCACACAACCTTCTCATCCATATTGATCAGTGGGCTTAATGTGTTTTGACTTTTGAGTTAGGAATCCTATTTTGTACTAATTGCAAATATTTTTGAGTTTGTGTATGCTACTATTTACATACTCTGTTATAATCTCACATTCGTTTTGGAGTGGAGGATGAGATTGACTATTATCTTGAAAGTGTATATTTGAAAATTGGTTTAGCATTTTCATTTCTATATAAACATATGATTGATCACCTTTATTATTAAGTATGAGAGTAAATACAAATTCTACCTATCAAAACCTCTCATCAACGTTTAATAGAAGAAACCCATGAATTCAACGAACTATTTTAATTGTAATTTTTAAGGAAATTTGTTTATTTGTTCGCATTTGGTTATATATTAGATTACTTTTTCTCCTTAAATATAGAAAAATAAGACAATATCCAAACCTAACTGAAAACCACCATGCAAAATTAATCACAAATTTAAGTTTATGTTGTACATGTTGTATATTCGTTAATATTAATCTTTTGTTTTGTTACAGTTCGTTAATATATAACTCTTACGAAGCTCAAACTCTAACTCCGGTGTACTCGACCTCGTAGTGGATATCTTTCCTTGTTTTTTTGGAAAATTACATAAACATGAATATTAGTATAAGTTTATTAATTAGAGGACGATCCACAAAAAAAAAAAAAAAAAACATATGTTAGACATTAGATAAGTCGTCAATTAGCCAACAATAATATAATTAATTTCTTATTATTATTCCAATCTATTTCACCAAAAGCTCTTATCTATGAGCTTCACAAACTCATAAAAATCGATTTTCCCATCTCTATTCTCATCAAAAACCTTAATCATCTTCCTACACTCCATATTTGTACACTCATCGTATCCTAACAAACACAACACATGTTTTAACTCATTTTCATCTATAAACCCATCTTGATTCTCATCAAATAATCTAAACGCCTCTTTAACTATCTCCTTACCCATCATCTCATTCTTCTCAAGCAAGTACTCTTCTCCTTCTTCTATCAAACGCTCGTATAAAGCTTCCGAGTCATCGATCATCGCCTTGACTTCTTCCACGGATGTTTTGATATTTGCTCGATTTGGAACGAAAACTTTCTTTATAATTGGGAGCTCGGTATTTTGCCTATTGTTTCTTATTGAAGCGAATAGAATGTAGGCATTAGAGAAGAAGAGATGGAAACGACAGGGAAAAGAAGAAGAGAAGTCTTGAATTATCATCATGAGATTGAGAATGAACAAGAAGATGACAATGGTAAGGAGAGAGATTGGGCTAAGAAGAGACGAATCCTCCATATTGATCTAAATTTATGTGTGTGGAATACCATAAACAAAATTTCTATGAAGCTTTATATTTATTTTCTTTGGTTTCAAAGGTTGGATAATAAGTGTGTTGAGTTGGTCCTATTTTATAAGAGGTGTTACATTCCTTAAGTACGAAGACCAAAACATATCTTACTCACAAAGTCTGCGGAAGGAGTCTCCATGGAAATTGTTGAGAAACTTACCAAAATTCTTTAAAAGGGAAAGAAAAATGCTACTTTAAAACTCACCGCAATTCAATCAAAAGTATTTTATTTATACTTTTATACCTACAGAGAAAACCTATGAAACTTCCATCGAATTCAAACCTTCATTAAAAATGATCATATATACTAACAAATCATTATGCTAGTAATTAATAATTGATCTGTATTTTCATTTCATAGTTAATAAATCTTCTTGGAATTTTATGCATCTAATGCTTGGCTTTTCAAATATTAGGAGTAATAAACTGAATTTCTTTTATATATATATATATATATCCCAAAATCAAATTGAACTTTTGGACGGAACCAAATGAAAACAGGGTAGTTAATCTTGTCATATAAGAAAAAAACAAATGTTTATATATTTTGATAATCGAATAATAAAATGTAATCAACTTCTCATCATACCCATGATGGACACAAAAAAATAGAGTTGAAAATTGAGTGAGGGCATCTTTCATTATCTTGGATTCCAATTCATGCATGGAAATTTCCATGCAATTTCCTTGAAACGTTTTCCTTTAAATTTATTATCATGTTGCTTTCACCGACCCAAGCACCCTTTGGCTTATTTGATATGTGGAAATATTGAGACTCTTCGTGGTAGTTCAGTTTTTGTTTTAAAAAACATTTATTATTATAGTAGAATGATTTGAAAAACTCGAAATCTAATGTTCACGTGGTAATTTTCTTAATCTTTTGTTATGGAATATATATTAACAAAATAATAATGTAAATGATGTAATAGACGATAGAAAAAACATGTTTAATTCAATTTGTAAGTCCTCGATCAAAATATAACTTAACAAACTAAATTAACTAAACAAATAGAACAACTTTCGTAACTTGATTACGGCTAGAAGACATCTCAAGAATTCTCAAACTTAATGCAATTATGGTTAGAATGAGTTCTTTAACTCTCTTGTTTTTACTCCTTTGTTTTTTATTTCTTTTTTTGGCAAGGTAGTTAGGTAAAGGTCTATTTTTTGTAAAGCGTAAACATTTCATTCCATATGATATTTACAAGTTTATAAAAAGAAAATAAAAAATTAACTAGAAATAAGTTTGAAATTATTTAATCAACGTCTATCCATCTAAAACATAGAGAGTTCTCATTTGCGATAGATTTAGTATAATAAATTGGAAAACCAACCTTATAATTTGTTTCATTAACCTACATAAGAACTAAAAAAGTGGTGATTTTGGTAACATTGTGCAATAGCAAAATGGTTAAAACAAGAACACTTCAACTTAATTTGGAAATTAAAAAAAAAACATGAGGCTTGAGTTATAAAATATCATAGTCCCAAGAACAATGACAAAGTTTTGTACCTTTCATATCTACTTCTTCTCTTTATAGATAGAAAATTACGAATATCGAGAAGAAAAAAAATTACGAATATCGACATAACCATCTTGACTCTTGAGTATACGTACGAGCCCATATATGTATATTTGTATGTTTATGGGCCTAACGAGATTAAGAAAATGGATTGGCCTACGACACTCATCTCCCGAAGAATCTGTAATCTTTTGATTTTCTTCGTCAAATTAAACCACAAAAACCTCTCCATCGACTCGGATCACCCACAACACTCTGCGATGAAACCCGACCCGGCCAGACGCAGAAACAGAGCCTTATCACCTTCTTCTTCCCCATCAAAAACCCGACCCGGGTCCGGTGAAGCCCGCGGTGGAAAGGTGAAAACTTCGGCCACTTTACTCGACCGGGAGGAGATGGGTCTCTTTCCCGGGTCGGGTTACGATGACCCGAATCCAGAACCTAGGAGCTTTCCTTATAGTGTGAAGCAGCAATGCTGGGAAAAAGCAGAGAAGATTAAAGGGAGAGATCCTGAGCGTTGGAGGAGAGATCCTTTAGGGAACATTGTGTTTCGAAAGCTCGTAGGTTGTCCTGGATGCTTGTGTCATGATTATGATCACATTGTTCCTTACTCAAAGGTTTGTCCTTTACAATTCTCACTTGATGAATCATGATACTCTGTTTTCTGGCCAATGAATTCTAGTTATGTAAGTTTAGGATTGAGCTCAAAGCCTCAAACTTTGTGAAAATGTATAAGGAAAGTTTTGCTTTTAGGTTTTCAATATAGTTTCTGTCTTTATGTTCGTGTTGATTACTACTCTCACTTCATGAGACTCTGTTTTGCCTATGAGTTCTGGTTATTTACGGTCTAGGAACTTGATGGCTCTGTAGTGTCAGAAGATTTTGCTCCTAGGCCATTTCAATTTAGTTTCTGAAAGATGATCACTGTGACAAAGCTATTGAATTTGTGCTATATTTACATTCTTGATTGGGATCTGAGGGATAAGGGAAATGAGTTCTTTTCTTGTGTTGTAAAGTCTTAAAATGGTGGAATGTGTGTAACTTGAGGACTAAACAGTTATTATATATTTGCTGGTATGGATTTAAGAATCTAGTCCACTAAGTAAGTTGAAGAATGAAAGTGAAAGGGTGCTGTAGCATGGTCTAATAGTAGCTATTATTGTTTGTTTTCTGAAGTCTCTTTCGTCCTTATTAATAGGAGTTAGGAGATGTGACCATAAGAACACGCCTTTGATGAACCCTACACGAGTTCTTATTGATAGAGTTTCACATTTATCCTTTGAATCTATAGTTTAAACTTAGAGGATTGCAGCTTCGGGACTGTGTTAGAATTATTAGTGAAAAGCTTATGGAATTTCTCGGAAGGGAAAAGTAGTTTCTAAAAGATCTGATTGTCATGTTTCCTGCTTTCATTTGGTTGATCTGATTGTGACCCTAATTTTCCAAACTGAGATTTACTTAAATTTGAATTGATGGTGCATCTGTCTTCTTTTTTCTCGTTCTAACGCATAATGTAACTGAATTTCATAGTATATAATATAGTTTTATATACAAGAGGAAGATATCTTCATCTACATGTAACATTACTCATTTAGTGCCCATGCTTCTTCGATTCTTGTATAGTATCTGAAGAGTTTACTTTCCCAATTTTTTTTAGGGCGGCAAGAGCATTCTGGAAAACTGCCAGGTTCTGCAGGTACGCTGCGGAAATTTAAACTAACTGATGACTACCATTCAAGGTTTAAAATGGCTACTACAATATCTATGTTTATAGTCAACATTCTCTTGTATTCTGACGTAGGACCGGTATTTTGCTTAGTGGAGGAAACTCTTAGACAACCCATTTTCCGCAAAACACTCTCTTGCAAATTCTCTTTTGTGTTTTACTTATTAACCTCAATCCCAACTCCAATCCAAACATACTCTTTTTGGCTTTTAGCTTCTTTCTCTTCCTTGGAATCTGGAGGGTAAAGCTCTTGAGTCGTTAAGTTTGTTTTGTTTCTACGTTTCAGGCAAAGGTAAACCGATCAAAGGGAAATAAAACCGATATTTCTCGAGCCGAGCTTATCCAGAGGAGTTCTTATTGTCGAGTTGCTGGTAATTCTGCACACTCTTCTCTATGAAACAAACTCTATCTGAGTTTTATACTAAACTGTTCCTTGCAAAAATTTTGTAGGCCGAGATATGGATCTCATTGAGCTAACAGCTTACGGGAATGTACAGCGCGCACCTGAGTCCAGTGGATGCAGGATTCAGTAATCTGTCGAAGATCCATTGATGGGAACTGAAGATGATTAGTTTCTCAATATTTACTCGGACAAGATTCTGTAAATTTTGTCAGTTTTTATCTGAGTTACTTGTGTACTCGTTATCTTGCATATACAGTGTAGCATTAGTCATTTAGTGCTCATGCTTCTTTCTATTTATTTAGTTCTACTCTTTTTATTGCATTTTCAATTAGAAAAATAATGCCTTCTATCCATAATTAAAAAAAAAAAAAAAAATCAAATCGGAAATGTGAAAAGTAGCTTCTGTTTGTTTACGTGGACTTTCTTTTTACAAGGTTTTTAGTTGTTTTTTTTTTTCCTTCTAAAAGCATACTTTTCTCCCTTTCTTTTCATTAATCTTGAAAATAAATTCGACTTTCTTTTCTTTTTTTTGTTGGGTTCGGAGTGTAGTTCTTCCGATTTGATAAAATAAAATTCTGAGCAACAGATAAATTAAAACAACTCATTTAAAGATAAGTACATTTATTAGTTATTTATTTACATGTCACTTTTTACCTGAAACATTAAAAGAAAATGTTAAAAAAAAAAAAAAAGAGACAGAAAAGTCTAAAAAGGCATATCTTTTTGTTGCCTTTATTTTTGGTTATCTTTTTGGGAGGCGTGTCAGGTCTTCCTCAAAGAACCTAAAAGTTGGTTACACGTGTCAAGATCACAGAAGATGCCTTCCTTTGTGGGAAAGTCCTTTTTATTTTATTTTCATGTGGAAATCTACTCACCAAAGTTTTCTTGGCACTCATGTAATAGTGATTTTTTGTAGCAATGGATATCATGGGAAAGAATTAGAATAGTATATTTCTTTTGCTTTTTCCAACTATACGTTAATTAAAGAGCCACTCTTTGATTAGTAATCCAATTAGAAAAAAAGAATAGAAAAGTATATTTTTGATCCAAAGTTTTAATTAGGTATTTGATTTTATGATTTGTTTTGTTAATTCCATCTTTCTTTTTTTGTCAATAATTTTGTTAATTCCTCTAGATTTCAAATGTTTGATGAATTTTTGAATAAATGTGGATAACCATTTTATTAAAAATCATTAGTTTTCTTTATCAAATACGTAAAACTAATAAATGAAGAAATGAAATTACTTTCTTCTTAAATTAAAATCATGGAAAAAGTAAAGGAACCATATGCTTCATATAATTAACCTTATCAAAAAAAAAATTATTAACTAGCAAAAAAATTCACTCAATTTTCTAGTTTTCATTATATTAATATTTATTATTCCTCTTAAAGCAGTTTTTATCATCA